ATTCAGCTCCAGCTCTCAAGATCATTCCCGAAAATGTGTCAGCATGGATAGTCCCCGGTCCCGTGGGACGCACAAACTTGAAGAGAAGTCAACATTTTTGCAAAGAGGTCGTCGTCGGATATCATCTCGATATTCACCGGCGGATTCTACGATATTACGATATCGTGTGGAGGAACGAACTATTTCCTGCGAATGCAATACGGTGTTTTCACCCCGACCTCTACCCCGTCGCTGATTGTCGGGCTCTGCCACGGAATTAAAGAACAGGAAATGTACAACTTGCGATACAATCAATTTGCAAAAACTCAGTGCAGAGTCATCAAAGGGATTCAGAAGAACTCGATTGCATTTCAGACAAATTTACTATAACATTGCGAGCCTGCGAGGTAGTTTGTTATAGCGTCCGTTTATAAGAGACTACAAATTTCCCGGTTGGACGTACTGTAAGTGTCATTTCAATCGTTGATAGGTATGAGCGCGCTACGTCTTGAGTTGGGTGGTCCTCGCTCGCAGTGGGGATGGTACACTGATTTGCGTCCATCTGCGCTCCCCGCCCTATGCCTCCTCGCAGCTTTTATCCTCAGGCTTGCCCACGGCAGCCGCTGGTGCAGGTTTCACAATCCGAATGTTCTGGATGAAGATGGCTGATATCAGCGCCAGCCCCGCCACCGGCACACCCAGGAGAAATACAAGCTTGAGCGCCTCTGAGTAGCTCCGCACCACGCCCGGGATCATCGCCTCGGGAAGCTCCGTGTATATCGCCGTCGGGCTCTCCTTGACGATGAACGCCGGCGCCTCCGGCGCGTACCGCAGGAGATACTTGGACAGCTGCGAGGCGAAGACGGGTTCCGCGACGCCGAGGCCGAGCGTCCCACCGAGGAACTGTGCGAACGAGCCCATGGACGTCGCCTGCCCGAGTAGGTGCGGGGCGTCCTTGAACTCAACCTGCATCGCGAGGAGCGAGATCTGCATGCCCATGCCAGTGCCAATGCCTGCGAGGATCTGGAAGCCGATGAGCTTGGCGCTGGTGGTGGAAGTGTTGAGTGTGTAGAGCATGCCGGAGCCCACGGCGAGAAAGACTGGCGCAACGACGAGGAAGGGCCAGTAGTACCCGAAGCGGCCGACGAGCTGGCCGGAGGAAATGACAGTGACGACGAGGCCGAGCATGAATGGAAGGAGGTCGATGCCCGACTGGGTGGCGCTCTGGTGCCTGACGGCTTGGTAAAAGATCGGGATGTAGTACGAGAAGAGGAGAAGGGAAAAACGCGTCAGGAAGCAATACGCCAAGATCGCATATCTGTCGAAAATTAAGGTCAGTAAGCAGAATGCAGAGAGGAATATACGTACATTGAACGCGACTTGAAAATTTTCATGGGTGTCATAGCTCTGTCGCCAATGTACAGCTCCCAACCGATCCATGCGACGGCGAGGACGCCACTAAAGACGAAGGACTGTATGGATGGAGTTGGTCAAAAACTCCAACGAAGCGCATCGAGTTTCAAACGCACCATGATAACGGCCTTGTCGTCCCAGGGCTTGGTGTTACCACCCCATTGCAATGCAAGGACCAGGCAGGTCACAGCACCAGCCATGAGTGTTGCGCCAAGGAAGTCGAGGCGGAGTGCCTGCTTGAGGATATCCTTAAGGGAACGTTTGGTGAGATCCGCGCCGAGAGGCGGCGCCGCCTTGAGGAGGAAGATGACCGCGATCATGGAGACTCCACCGATGGGGAGGTTGATGAAGAAGCACCACCGCCAAGTAACCTACAATGATATGAGAAATTTACGTTTACGAAAGAGTTGGAAGAAAAACGAACGTTGTCGGTGAAAGCGCCTCCGATGAGCGGCCCGATGACAGAAGAGATACCAAAGACACCGCCGAAGAGTCCAAACAATCTCGGGCGGTCTTCGAGTCGGGTAACTTGCGCGATGAGCTGAAGTATGGCGACGACTGCAAGCGAGGTGAGTGTAAGAACGAAGAGTTGGCGGAACACACCTACACAATCCCGCGGCCCCGACACCCGACACCGTACGCCCAGCAATGAGCTGGTTAACGTTTTGTGAAACGCCACAGAGGAGTGAACCAATCTCGAAGATGGCGATGGAGGAGACGAGGACCCATTTGGCCGGGAAAATACGCAGGACCTGGCCGTAAAATAGGAGGAATATTGTCTGTGCGAGCACGAATGAGGAGGCGACCCATCCCTGAAGTGAGAACGAGTTGAAGTCCTGGACGATGTGAGCAGTGGGATTCGACGTAGGAAACATAAGAAAAGTCACATACGGATGCTATGCGAGGCAGTGCCGTCGAGAGAATCGTTTGGTCCAAGGCAATGAGCAGAATTGACAGTAACCTTTTGTGCGCGTCAGGAAAAAAATGTCGAGAAAAACAAGAAAGCTACTTGCATCGCCACAAAAACAACCGCCAATTTTCTACCCGTCAGAATCGTACTGGCTTCTGGAGCTGCCGGCGCTGGCACTTTCTCGTCGCGAGCGGCAATTTCGGTTGCCCCTAGGGTGTGGGAGGAGGTGCGAGGCGAAGCTGCATCGAGTTGAGAAGACATGGGGCGTCAAACCACACTAGGATGGGGGCTTTAAATGGATATCATACGCGAATCTTTGTTACTACCATCCGTCAACCTGTCTCCATTGGTTTTCGGGACGGTGGTGCGGTCCGAAAACCAAACATCATGCGCCCTGTAAGGATTGCGAATATTCCGGCTTTCCGAGATGCTCGTTGGCCCGCCGAAATCTTTGTAACTTTCGTCTGGACAAACCTTTCAACGACCTTTCCATATTCCGACGAATATTCAGAATCTTGCGGTATCGTAACAAGTCAATCGCGAATAGCCAACACGAGTAGTGCCGCATAAGGAGGCGAGGAGGGGTGTGGCTTTGCGTGTCTTCTGCATTATCGGTGCTGACTCAGAGTTTATCCGGGTCCAGAAAAGGCAAAACAAAGTCCGGTCCACGTAAGCTGCCTGATAAACGATATCTGATAATCATTTCGCTGCCACATGGCGCTCAGTGGCCATTCAAACCAAATCCCCGGCGGAGGTGGTCCTTCCTTCTACGTTCTTTTCGCACGGTATAATATGTTTCCCGGGACTACAGCTCTGCCACCGGCCGACATTCCCGACAAGAATGGCGTCGCCCCTGCCGCACTTCCCTGACGGTGTGATTCGGACGGAGTGCTTCGGCTTGCAGCGTTTCTGCACATGAGGGCCAGCTGCTGAAGTGGTAGCTATTGGAATGACGCAAGCCGTGTTTGCCGTATACCGGTACAGATACCAAACACTTAGGGGAGGTTCAAATACTTACGGTTGTAGAATCGAACCCATTAAAGAGCCCAGGCGGAAAAAATGAATCAAAGTCAGAGAGGGCGAACTTGAAATGAGTTGGGATTAGTTACATCAAGGGAAGGTTGGGAATCAATTTTTCTCTCAACTGACTGGCATCGAAAGTGAGAGAGTAACATCCAATAGCCCGACGCAAGTATCCCGCCGCGAAATCAAATGAACATGCACTGTCATGCAGAAGTTGGAAAAACGAACCAAAAGCTGTAGCCCCTGTCACGCCCTCGGAGCATTACAGCTCTTTGCACATCTAATGGCACTAACTGAAAAAAAGAAAGAAGAGAGCAAATTTGATGCAAAGCTTATTTCTTTCATTTCTCCCTCAATTCTTGTCCGTTTGGACTGCAAACAGGGGCAATCGAGAGGGCTCACCAGGGCCTTCATGCCCATACCATACTTACAGTCTATTTCAAAGTTTCAGAAATTCTCTTTTTTGGTTGTAATTGGGGAATTCCAGGCATCTCTGATTTTGTACCTCATATTTCTCCCCCATTTCTTGACGGATTCCCCTGAGATTGGATGCCTATTAGAACCCGGGATGCCAGGTAGATTTTGGTATACTTTTTGTCATGATTTACTTACATATCCTTGGGTGACGGGTGAATATGTCGGTGGGGCTTGGGTAGAGCATGGTAAAGCCCACCAACATATTCACAGCTGGAGTAGGAATGTATGGAAGGATTGAGATTCCAATTACATCAGAGTATGTCCTACATTTGGTACTGTCACATGCATCTGTTTTCATCTGGATACATTCAAAAATGATTGAAAAGGATGTGTCACAAAATCTACAAGCAGTCAGATCAATTTTTGAGAATTGGACAACCCCAGTAAAAATATATTGTTTTCTCACTCATTTCTTCATGGAATAGGATGAAACTGAGTGCATACTGGAATCCCCGAGTACAGGGACCCTCTGGCCTACTTCTCCTTATGGCTACCTCTCACATCTATGTGCAATGTGCCAATATGTTGGTGGGCTTTACCCTATCTTATCAAAAGCCCACCAACATATTGACATGGTGCACATGGGGGGGAGGTATAACCCTTGTGAAAACTGGATGGAAATATGGAGGAGGTGTGGGACTCCCATATGAATTCACTTTCATGCAAATCGGGTGAAAAATGGGGCAGACAAGTGCTTTGCAAGATTTGATAGAGATCAAATTTATTGATTACAACCGAAAATTGACCCTTTCTTGAACTTTGAATTGGGTGCTGAGTAGGATATGGACAGGAAGGCCTTGAGGAGCCCTCTTGATCCCCCCCATTTGTAGTGCAAACGGACCAATATTGAGGGAGAAACAAGGGAAACAAGCCTAGCACAAATTTGCTCTCTTCTTTCTTTTTTTTTGCTAGTGCCATTAGATATGCAAACAGCTGTAAAAGTGAAAGAGGTTGGTGTAGAATCGAGGACTCGATTGTGTAGCGATTTGACATCGCCGGGAGTGCTTGAACTCGGGAATAATCATTTAGTCACGTAAACGGTGTGAATTCAGAGAAGCAAGAATTTCTCAACCTATATTGCAGGCCGCGAGCTGCTCCAGATTGTGTTGAGCTGCAGAAAGCAAGGATAGAAACTGAAAACGATGTTTTTCAGAGAAAGCAAAAAGAGAGAAGCTCTCCAAAAAATATTCAGACACCATCACCCGATCCCGAATCGAACGGGAAACTTCTGCCTAGAACCATTTACTCTAAACAATAATGGTTTGCAGACGCACTAACCATTGTGCCATCGGGTGGACATGTAGGTTTTTTTTCTTCTGGGTGACCTAGGAGAGTCTGAACTTGGCCATGGGATATGGCGGTCACATTGCACATTTAATAAAATGAGGTTTTTTTCAGATGTTCAGTGTTTTTTTGAGCTTTTCAGGCGAAATTTGACCCTCACAAGTAAATTTGAACATCTCGGGATACCATACGATTTTCCAAGCGTTTTCTTGCTTGTTTTCAGACGTGTTGGAAAAAAAATCGAAGTACAATTTTGAATCACCGCATGAGTGATTTTTTTGAGGGTATCAGAGTTTTTTTTCTCCCATAGAGAGTTGATAGAGGGACTACAAATTAATGACATGCATTTTTTTTATGTGTCGTCGGTACGAGAGCACATTGATGCGGCGAGCTGATGGGACTAGCTGAGCATGATCCCTTTGATGCTGGCGTTCCTGGTGCAGGCTGGTGGTGTCCTAGGCACGACATACTGTACCTCTAGGTGGTTTGTGTGCCATGCAGAGCTACCACACTGCTCTGAGCCTTTGATACCCCAGGGATGCTGTTAGTAAACTCATCCCAATTGCAGCCAATGATGCCATCAGCCCGGCACCCCGGCAGCGCGCATCCATACTGTTGGCCGTCGACTAACAACCTGATCCTTAGCAAAAATCTGAGGCACTCAATCAGATTTGTAGTACCTGTCCAAAAAAATTGTGTCCTCGAAAAAAAAAACCACACAATCGAAAAGGAAAAGTTTCGTTTCAATTTTTTTTCAACATCTGAAAACAAGTAAGAAACACCCGGAAAATATCCTCAAGATCCGACATGTTCAAAATTACTTACAAGGCGCAAATTTCGCTTGAAAAGCCCAAAAAAATACCGAACATCTGAAAAAAACCTCATTTTATTAAATGTGCAATGTGACCGCCATAATGGGAATGAGTTGGGATTGGTTTTAATTATATCGGCGAATTATAATGGGAAAAAAAAGCAAGAGTTTCCGCATCTACAGTATATTGCAGGCCTGCAAGCAGGCTGACTGTGTTGATCTCCAGAAAGCAGAGCTAAAACAAAGACAAAGGCTGTTAAAAGAAACGAAAATAAAACCAAAAAGTTCACTAATTTCGTGTATCACCCGACCCCGAATCGAACGGGGGTCTTTTGCATAAACCGGATCAAATGCATACTAATAATTGCAGACGCACTAACCATTGTGCTATCAGGTGGTTGAAAATATGTAAAGGTGGGAGGGTAAATACCGTCTACCATGCCACCCGTCGCCAGATTGAACCACATTTACTTCAATTTTCTGTTATCTTTTATTGGGCCACACGCCGGCGAGCAGGTTGAGGATTGTTGAGCTATTCAAAAGGACTTCCAAAACAAACTCAGACGCTGAAAGACGAAAACTCAACCAAAATGTACTCAACAAAAAGTTTGAGCTCATCACCATCCATCGCCTGACCCCGAATCGAACGGGGGGTCTTCTGCATACGATTTTCTGACTTTTACAACATATGCAGATGCACTAACCACTGTGCTATCAGGCGGTTGAAAGCATTGAAAGGTAGAAGGGTAAGTACTGACTAGCTACCATGTCACCCGTCGCCAAATTGAACAAAATTTTCGGTTATCTTTCATCATTGGGCCACACACAGAGATTCGAGCCGTTGTGATATCAGGCAGCACTGAGCTAGCAGGCCGGTGTATACAGAGTTCGAGCTGTCACAGAGGGCTAAAGGAAGTCACTTTGTGGACGGGTCTACTACGCCAACCTCGAATGTAAAGAATCATCGCAACCCACTATCGACATCGTCTAAAGCGAAACCGTATCAACGACGCCTTTTACAAATCGCAGTTCGGTCACTGTACATACAGCGTCCATCCCATACCATTCTTTTCGTTATGAGCGAACCAATTCCAGCATACCCTTCCCCACGCATCCCGAGCTACCGTAGAAAGCTGCAGAAACAGACCGCCCTCTTTCCGTCCCACACACCACCCTCTTTCCGTCCCACACACCACCCTCTTTCCGTCCCACACACCACCCTCTTTCCGTCCCACACACCACCCTCCCTCCGTCCCACACTTACGCGAGAACACAACCTTAAGCCGCCTGGAAGTACTCCGGCAGGATATACGCGAGCGCAGGGTTCTTGTGCGCGCCGGGCGGGGCCATGAGGGCGAAGCGCATCGATCCCGCTTCTTCTGCGAGGAGCGCTTCCTGCGAAGAGGATAGGATGTCAGCATATGAGCATATGAGCGAAATGAAGAATGAATGAAATGCAGCCGTGAACAAGGAAAGAACGCAATGTAATCGAAACGAAATGGCCGGAGGCGAATGAAGCACGAACGAAAAACAAAATGGCGAATCCAGAATCCAGAGTAAAATACTGAGGAACAGCACACTTACGTCGGCAGCTAGAAGGCGCTCGATGACGTGCGCTGCGACGTGGCGACTGGTATCGGCGTTTTTCTTGAGGATGGCGCCGACCTCAGCGGCGGTGACGCCGGCCTCGTGTGGGCGCCAGGCGTCGTAGTCGGTCGCGGTGGCGACGAGGGCGAAGCTAGGAAGAAGGTGAGTGTTATCATGCGTAGGAAGGAAAGAACGGGGGGAATGACGATGAGGATAGGAGGGGGAAAACACACCTAATCTCAGCCTCACGCGCGAGCTTCGCCTCCGGGAGCGCAGTCATACCGATGAGGTCGCCACCCCACTGGCGGTACATCAAGCTCTCCGCCCTCGTTGAGAACTGCGGGCCCTCCATCACCACGAGCGTCTTGTCCGTCCACAGCTTCACGCCCCGTCCCTCATCCTTCAGTGCCTCCCTGACCGCCTCCGCGAGCCACGCCGCCAGACGGGGCGAATACGGGTCGCTGAACCCCGCGTGCGCGACGAGCCCCGTGCCGTCGAAGAACGTCGTCGGGCGGATGCCCTTCGTGCGGTCGATGAGCTGCGCCGGGAGCGCAAAGTCCCCCGGCGCGATCTCCTCCCGCAGCGAGCCGACGGCGGAGAACGCGATGATGGTGCGCACGCCGAGGGACTTGAGCGCGGCGATGTTGGCGCGCGCGGGGATCGCGGAGGGCGAGATGGTGTGGTCGATGCCGTGTCGGGCGACGAAAGCCACTAAGGCGCCTGAGGGGAGAGACGAGATGGCTATCGGAGAGGAGGGGAAGCCCCAGGGCTGTAGAAACGGTGTCAGAGAGTTAAAAAGACAGCGGTGAACCAACGCACCGTCTCTGGGTTAACGTGCTTGCTGGACGAAAACTTCAGCTGCGGTAGATCACGGCGATTTGACGACGCACACAAAGGTCAAATTCGACAGGTTATACAGCCCACTGCCGCCAATGACTCCTACGAGAACTAGGGTATCGTCAGCCGCATTCTCAGTGAGTGCAGGAAAGTGGACGACGCACCTTTATCGGTGGCCATCGTGGTCGGAGGAAAAGAGGGTGCTTGTCGATCGCGACCCACGTGGGTCCATGAGAAAATCGCAAAAAAGTCAGATAAAGCACGCCATATATTGCGGCCTTGTAAGAGCACGCAGAGGGAGTCCCATCGTCGAGAGCAGAGGTTTAAAACGGGTGTGAGGGGGATGGACGGAGAGAAAGGCCTTGATCAGTGCGAGGCAGCCACGCGGCCACCGTGTCGGCCGATGCCGGCATCGATGGTCTTGACTCTTGACCTCCACACCGGCGACCAAGCAGTTACTGGGCCAAGAGTTACACGGTCCTGAATCAACGCGGTTCGTGAAGTCGCTCGCCTTAGCAAAACTGTAGAAGCAAGGAATTCTTGGTCATCTGGAAGTCCAGTCAGAGAATGCCAAAAGTCGGAGCGGCGAGAGACCAGAACGCAATCGTCCAGACAGGTGGACCGGAGGTATGTGTGGTTTTGCGCAGTACCTGGGATGTCTGGATAAATTTCTGGCGCAGGATGACTGGTCGAATATGTCGATGGCTTTGGGGTGGTCTCGTTCCAGTCAAGTTGGTCGTATGAGACGTGATTTACGCGATGCCAGTTCTCCGTCGAGTTCAGAGAAAGCCTTTATTGCGGCGAGATGGTGGTAGAAAATGAAAGAGCGGCTGAAGCAAATCAGCGGATGCGCCTGTCACCACTGCTTCCTCCGATGCCGCGCTTTTAATGAAGAGGCAGCCATTTTCTCAGCTTCTCCGGGCAGAAATCCGTTACTTATCAGAGGCTGCAACTTTTGCACGGGAACTGGCGCCACTCAGTCACTCAATGCAACCAGGCGTCTGAGTAGTTAGTCTCGGCGATCTTCCTCGGACGGGGGAAAGGCTCGGAGCCTGGAGAATTTTTCTGGTGTGTCATATCATCCCAATATCCGTTCATATCTTAAAACCCAGTGACTTCAGGCTCTACTAGCGTATAGTGCTCACTGCAGCAGAAACGGCGAGCAACTGAACACTGTCACTCCGAAGACAAACAACCTTTTGTTTGTTCTTTCGCTCCGCTTTCTGCCTCTCGTTTCTTTTGCCCCGATGTTTAACTGCTACAGCTTTTTGAATGGAAATCTATGGATCTAGCCCAGCGCGAGAATGAAACGACGTTCCCCAGTCGATTTTCCCACAAGTCTCCACAACTTGGATCCGCAAATTAAATAAATTGCAGAGCAATAAAACGCCTCTTCCTGACGCAGTTACTCTCGGAAACTATGGTTACATTGCCTCGCTAATAATGGGAGGCCATCCTCAAACGAGGGTTCGAATGCAGACTGTATGCACCAACGCAACGTGGCTTCAACGTGTTGTGGTTCCGGGAACCGCTGCCCAGGCGGCCAGGCCGGCATGTCCATGTCCACTCCAGCATGGATTCCATGCACAACTGGTGGTACTTATAGCGCAGGCGCAGACAACTGCCTGGCACTACGGCCCCTTCATCCTTCCTTCATCATGTCGCCCTCCTCCTCCTCCTCCTCTTCCGATCCTCCGCGTTGTCTCCCGGAATATCTCCCCCAGTACGGCTTCGGCGCCGAAACCCGCTTCAAACAGCTCGTCGAGAAGAATGCTTTCTTGTTCCGGGTGCACACGCCTAAATCGCAGGCTCTCCGGATCCCCGATACGGCGTTCGCAGCCCTCAAATTCGACGCGCGCTACACCGCAGACGCCAGTTCCCCCGCTCCGCATCGACATGCGCGATATCCGACTCCGACTTATGCCGACGTCGCGCAGCACCTGGACTGGACCACTCGGCACTCATCGCCCTATATAACGACGTCCTTCAGCTTCATGTGGGCTGTATGGGAGGCGGTGCGGCGGTACCAGATCGGTGTGAAGCACGATGTCGAGATCGCCGTCATCGATGCTACCGCCGTCGCTGAGCGCTGCGCGACTGTCGTCGAGGTCTTGCGATCTGTCCCTCCTGAAGCGTGCGTGCCTAAATGCCTTTCAAATATTTAACAAAATCAACTGACTTTTATTTTATTCTAGGCGCAACAAGAACCACTGGAAGTGGTATTCCTTCGCACAAGAGGCCCAAGCGTCCTCGTATACGGCGTCATCCCAGACTCCGCCGTACTCGCCTCTGTCCCCCTCCTCCACATCGTCGCCAGCCTCCCATCCTACTGCCTCCGCCCGCCGTCCCTCATCCCGCCAGACAACCCGCTCGACCGCCTCGCCTGGTCAAATTTAAGTTCAACACAGAAACGAAGCTATCGAAAATTCTGCGAGGCCCGGGCCCTCGATTTCCTGCGCTCCCCGCCCGAGGCCCGCTTCCGCGACTCCACCTCCGCCGCCGTGCGCCTCGCATTTGCATTCCTCAGTACCTGGTTCCACTGGATGCTGCACCTCGCCCCGCCGCGCGAAAATGAACCAACCCTCTTCCGCAACGCGGCGGTGACCAAGGTCACTGAGCTCGCTCGCGCGATTGCTGTATGGCCTGCGGCGCGCGATACGGCCAATATGTGGGTCGTCCTCCGCGAGATCGCGCTCCTCATAGCCGAGGAGGCGGAAATCCACGCGCGGAGTAAACCCGATGTTGCAGAAGCAGAAGAGGAGATCCCCGCACTCCCGGGAATTTCGACATATCCCGACATGGATGCGAAAGATGACCGTGACGCAAAATCCTCGCACGTAACGCTCCCGGTTATCCTGGACCCGCGGAACTACCTCCCTACGCCCCCACCCACGCCCCCACCGTTGCTCATTCCCCGCTTCACGCCGAGTTCGCAGGGGCCTGGGCGCTCGCGCGGGTCCTCTGTGTCCGCTTTATCTCCGCGTGATATGAAAGTGGAGAGTGTGATTGTCAGTGAAGAACAACAGCAGCATCCAGCGACGCCGAATGACGTCGAGTCTCCATCGCTTCCATTCGCAGTGCCAGCCCGTGCTGAGCCCGCCTCCCCCGGGTCTGCTGCCGCTGAGAAGGAATTTGAGCTGGTGGTAGCGTCGCCAGGAGCGGCGCATTTTTCGGAGACAGAGCATGGTGTGAAGCACTCGATGGGAGACACCGCGTCGTGTCTTCTCACTGGGTTCTTTTTCGGCGCGTTGATCGTGATCGTTCTTTCGCAGAGGCGGCCGACGCTGATGTATTTGA